ATCTCATTGCTAGTTTTACTTGATCTTAGTGCTGCGTTCGACACTATAGATCATGACATACTCATAGATCGATTACAAAACTATACAGGTATTCAAGGGCAGGCTTTAAGAGGCTTTAGATCCTACCTGTCTGACTGTTACCACTTTGTTTATTTAAACGGGGAATCATCTCAATTAACGCCAGAAAAGTATGGAGTGCCACAAGGATCTGTCTTAGGCCCTCTGCTATTTTCAATATACGTTTCTGTGAAGCTGCTTTGCAATGATTCGTATCATGAAAAGTGTTATAAAAATATACGTCAATTGAATATAATTTTTTATTTTAATTTGACATTCTTATATTAATCATTTTTAGTGTTTTATTTAGATTTTTTATTTTTAAATTATTTATTTTACTTTTATAAATCAATTATTATTTAATAATTATTATTTATTATTTTTTAAATAAAATGATCTTTTTGATTGTTTTTAAAGAACTAGAATGGAAAAAACTAATATAGTTGCAGAAAAGTAAACGTAATAAAACGAGCACAGAAGTTGATTCCTCACCTGTCACTGGTTAGTTTTGGGCCCAGATGACGGTTGTTTTATGAACATGTGCTTCTTCAGACACACAGAGCTTCTGCTGAGGCCAGTTTCTATCAATAAACCCACTGGACGCTTTTACACGTGACCCGCGGGCCACAAAACACATGTGCCGTCCCTCCATCGGCTCATTAAACGCACATTAGCCTGCGGTTAATGCAGTGAAAGCAGGATGATGTACAGTAATATCATGACATATTTCTGTGTTTTTGTCCTCAGAGGACAAACTGGAGACGCTGCGTCCCGAGTTCTGCGTCTCCAGCTCTGGAGAAATCCTGCAGGCCGGTGATTCGTGGAAGCCGAACGCCTGCAGCAGCTGCGTCTGCCGTAATGGGAGCGTCCAGTGCTTCTCGCAGCAGTGTCCGGCTGCCGACTGCAGGGTCCCTGTGCTGCGGAAGGGCCAGTGCTGCCCGCAATGCATGCTGGGTACGCGTCTACATACACAAACACACTAATGACAGTGATTTTACCATGGGAAAAAGTGTTTGAACAGTAAAAAGTGGAGTAGAATCAGTAACGCACAGACTCGGCAATGTAAGATGGTACATTTAATAATCAGAATAAATCATTCTGAATTTTACTTTTTTTTTTTTTTATTAAACTTAGTGTTTTTATTTAGTGTTATTCATTTAACTTTACATTTTTATGATTTCATTCATTTTTAGTAAGTGTTTTAATTTGATCGATTGATTATTTATTTCTTTATTTTAGTTTTACATTATTATAATGTAATTAATTTTTAGTGTTTTCTTTGTCATTTTAATTTAAATAACATTTTATTATTTTAATTTTACATTTATTTATTTGTATTAACTGTTATACAACATAACATTTATAATTTTTTATTATATTTATATATATATTGTTTAATTTTGAATGTGTTTTATAAGTATTATTTATTCAATTGTACATTTTTATAATTCAATTTTTAGTCTTTTATTTTATTTTTTTATTCATTTTAATGTTATATTTTAATAATTAACTTTAGTAAGTGTTTTATTAAACAATTATGAAAATATTTTATTAAATTATTTTATTAAAATAATACATTTTAATTTTAATTTAAACAAATGTAATTTATTTGTTTTTATTTTAAAATGATTTATTTATTTTTTATAATTCAACTTTCAGTGTTTTATTTTTTATTATATTTATTATATTTTTATTATACACATATTTTGCTTTCATTTTCAGTGTGTTGATTTCTGGGATTTTTTAAATTTTTTATTTATTTATTTTAAACTCATTAATAATTAATAATTTTTTATTTTAATTAATAATTGTTTTATTTTTAAATTATTGATTTCAATTTTGCATTCATTTTTATTAGCTGATGTTTGTAAATCAGCTGTTACATGCAACAATGCATGACATGCCAGTCAGAGTTGAAATCTGTTTTATAAAAAGAAATCGCCGCTAAAGTGTTTCAGGCACAAGCATCAGTCAGTGAACATTCGCTGGCTTTAATAATCAAAGTCAAACGCTGACGTTGATCTGTGGTGTTCAAGCCTCGATGGCAAACATTCCTGCGATATTGA